ACCCAACCACTGAGCCACACTGGCCAGGCTCTTCCACATTCCGGCCTAGCCTGCCGGCCTGCACTGCCCTGTCACTGAAAGGTGACTGTTTCTCACCTCTGTCCCCCTCAGTCACTTCCTGGGGCCAGGCCAGGCCACTCCTCTGCCCACCCCCCAGCTCAGTGCCTGGTCCAGGAATGCGAGCTGTGCGGCTGGCTGCTCATCTGTGAGGCAGGCCCTCCCTGGAACTCCGTCACCTCCAGGCTGTCCCTGCAGCCACGACGTCCACCTCCCACCCAAGAATGGGTTCGGTGCTTGCGGTGCAGATTCACACCTGTGTTTTCCCCAGACCCAGAGTTTCTGGAATCATTTTCCATCGGAAGCAGAACCAGAAGTCCCCTGTGGATAAAGCTTCGAAGTGGGATCTCTGACACTTAAAAGAATTCTTTCACAATATAATGGATTCTCTCTCATTCATCCAAAAGACTTTTGAAGACTTGGAAAATGACTGAGCTATGTGCACTTAATACTATTGAGAATAGAAGAATATTTGTATGGAGAAACGAAGTCAGAAATATGACCTTATACGTCAAAAGAGTATGTTTAACATTTTAAAAAATGATTTGAGAGAAAGGGAGAGAGAGAAAAACATCGCTTCATTGTTCCACTCATCCATGCACTCGCTGGTTGCTTCTTGTATGTGCCCTGACCAGAAATCGAACCCACAACCCTGACACACTGGGAAGACGCTCTAACCGACTGAGCTACCCAGCCAGGGCCAAGAGAGTATTTCTAACAAAACCTGAAAAATCTGCAATGGTATGTATTCACCCTTGCCAATGGTATTCCATTCTGACACACACATTTATATACCTATGCATATTCTAATACATATATGTATATGTATAGGGTGTTCCAAAACAACATATACACACAAGGCTACCTGGACCAGTTAAAGGATTCCTTTGGCTAAATTGTGACATTCTGATCACCCTAAAAGCACTCATGACTACAAATAATGGAAATAAATTGAGTCAATGAAGAGCCATCGGTGCATCCCAGTATTCTAAGAGAAATCAATGTATGATATTAAAAGAACATGGCTATAAAAAACTATATTATTTTCAAATATCATTTTAATTTTCTCTATGTTCTTTGGTCCTGCTAGATTTGCACAGTATGAGAAAAACACAGAATTCCAACCAGTTCTAGAAAACTTATGAAATCACTACATCTGGATATGAGGGGTCCAATGGAATGGGACTGGCTGCTTTTGCAGTCAGATGGGAAGTCATTTAAATAACCCCAAAAGTGCAAAATCCGCTGAAGCATTGAAGGACATTAACCTCAAATCTGTGAGTAGACAGAAAAAGTGCTATTCTTTTAATCCAGTGAATGTGGGCCACGAGAGCAAGCACTTTTGGGGTGCAGTGGGGTGTCTGTTTTATGTACAGGTCCACAGAGTTGCAACTATTGTGGGTGGTAAGATTGAGCAATGCATACTGGATGAGGTTCTCTGCCCCCTTGTGGTGGTGTCTGGTAATAACTGGAACCAACAACTATTTCCATGTGTCAAAAAGTTTAGAAGACCCCTGGCCGGTTTGGCTCAGTGGACAGAGGGACCGCCTGCAGACTGAAGGGTCCCGGGGTTCAAGTCCGGTCAAGGGCACATGCCCAGGTTGTGGGCTTGATCCCCAGTACGGGGCTTGCAGGAGGCAGCTGATCAATGATTCTCTCTCATCGGAGTTGCAACTATTGTGGGTGGTAAGACTGAGCGATGCATACTGGATGGGGTTTTTCTCTGCCCCCTTGTGGTTGTGTCTGGTAATAACTGGAACCAACAACAATTTCCATGTGTCAAAAAGTTTAAAAGAGCCCTGGCCGGTTTGGCTCAGTGGACAGAGGGACCGACTGCAGACTGCAGGGTCCCGGGTCCGAGTCCGATCAAGGGCACATGCCCAGGTTGCAGGCTTGATCCCCAGTACGGGGCTTGCAGGAGGCAGCTGATCAATGATTCTCTCTCATCATTGATGTTTCTCTCTTTCTCTCCCCCTAACCCTTCCTCTCTGAAATCAATAAAAATATATTTTTAAAAAAGTTTAGAAGAAATGGTGGCCTTTCTGTGCTTTTGGCTGGAACTCTATCCATTCAGTCTGATAGCAGGCACGTCTCACACTGAACAGAATCTATGACTGCCAAACACATCACCACTGAAGTGCTGCTCAACAGACCAAACTTTCTAAAACTGGGTTCACGAAGAGGAAGGCCAAGGGGATGGTTGTTGATGAAATGGTGGGAAGCGCAGCAAGCTGGGGTTCCAGAAACGGGGGGTGCAAAACCTCACTGGGCTAGACTTTAGACCAAATCACACCATCTCTGAGCCCATTTTCCACAGCAGAGAAACGAGGGTGTGAACCATATGGTTTCTCAGGCCACGTGGGTCCCTGGTGTTCTGAGAAGACAAAATGAAGACGTTTAAAAATGTGAAGCCATATCCCAGTCTGGAGTCATGTCTGTCCATAGTTAAGTAAAACCTTTTCACAAATAGGACTATACAGTGGGGCCTTGACTTACGAGTGTCCCGACTAACGAGTTTTTCGAGATACGAGCCGTCTCTCGGCCGATGTTTTGCTTTGAGTTGCGAGCTAAAATTC